GTCTGGATTTTAGGTACAACACTGAGGGCAGGGATTAGCCATGCTTCAGATGTGACTTCAGATTTAATTTAGCTGCTTCAGTTGCTGGCTTCTGGGGTTGCTGTCTCCTTAGGAACACTGCTGTGATGGACACACCCTATGGTGACTCCTAGTAAGTCACATTCTTTTTAATCTCCTTGCTTTGAGTGCTGGGATATATACAGAGGTGGTAGGATGAGATGTCATGCCGGTGACTATATTACATTATATAAGACTCTGCCTTAGCAGACTAGAGAGATTCTCCCTTTCTGACTTTGAAGAAGTGAGCTACACATTATCAGAGATTCTGTGAGAAGACCATGGATGGGCAAGGGACTACAGGCAGCCTCCCGGAGATTAGTGGCCCCTGGATGACAGCCAGCAAGAGAGTGGGGATCTCAGAAATACAACACAGGGACATGAATTCAGCCAACAACCATGTGTGCTGGGAAGAGGATCCCAGGATCCAGAAAGAAATGCAGCCCCAGTTAAGTTGCTTCTGGACTCCTGACCCTCAAAACTGTGACATGATGAATGAGTGTTTTTTAAGCCACTAAAAATGTGATAATTTGTTACACATAATTAAAAAACCAATACAGCCATCCTTCATTTTTAGGTAGAAAGGATATTAACACTTAGCATTTTTAGGGAAGAAGGGCATTACCAAGCATTAAAATGACACCTTAAAGATATATTTGAATCTAATGATTACTTTGATCTATTATAATTCAAAGTAGTGAAAGAAAAAGAAGCAGGGAAGGATTTGGGACAGGAAGGCACCAGGTGTCCAAAGCAAATAGATCTAAATTCTTGTAACTTTCACGTCCTGCCTTAAACAATGGGAAGGATATGCTGTAAATTATTAACTAATGAAAGTAAATGTCAAAGAGGCATAGCCATATTAAAACTTAATGCCTCAGAAGACCATTCGTGATCACCTAAAATTGAACTGAAGTTATGCTTGATTTTGAAAGAGAACAGCAAATCAAGTTTATGAATCATGTATATGGATACTTATCTGACCTGCCAGGTCAGTGGTTACCAAATGTGGCTTTCTGTTAGCTATCTATTAAATGGGATTTTTTTTTTTAATTAAGAAGTTTAGAAAAAAAATTATTGAGCATCACTTCAGATTTAACTGAGTCAGAATCATCAGAGGTAAGACTTGTTGCCCACCTACACACACATCTCCCCAAGGGGTGGAAACCCATCAAAGACCTCATAAGGTTCCAAAGTAGCCAGTCTAACCATTGGTATTCAAGACTATGGGACTCATCACAATTAGGTCAACTCTTTTTGTGACAGAAGCACCTTATGACTAGGATTTTATGCATCTAGTTCATTGGTTGTCAATCTTAGCTGCACATTATAATTACCTGGAGAGCTTTATAAATCCTAATACTCAGGATTGCTTCTTCCCAGAACAATTACATCAGAATCACCAAGCATGGTACCAACTTATTTTTAATTTTTAAAGGTCTTGGCATGATTGCAATATGCAGTTAAGTTTGAGACTGCTGACATGTACAGAATACCTTGTAGGTTTCAGCATCCTTTCTAATACATAGGTACATAGCTCAAAACCCAAAACACTGTGGGGGAGTATGAAGGCCAACCATGACTGGCCACTTCAATGGAACACAAAACTAGGTTTGACTATTTGGAGATTTACTATTATAACTCCTTTTTATTGAACTTCATGTTTATTATCTTAATTTCTCAAAAACAGACAAAACTCAGCCAAAAAAACCACCAAAAATCAGGCAATGTAGGTATCAATATCCCAATTTATAGAGATAAGGAGACACAGGCCACTGATTCAAGAGAGCTGGCTAAACAAGTAAGATATGGACCTGATGGACCTGAGTCTGAGTGACCCAAAGCTTATGATACCTTCACAGTGATTTTTAAAGTGTGATCCCGAGACCAGCAGCATTAGCATCATCTGGAAAATTATGAGAAATGCAAATTCTTCACCCCAATCTCAGACCTATTAAATCATAATCTTTGAGGCTGGGGCCCAGCAATCTGGGTTTTATAAAGCCTTCAGTTGGTTCCAAGGCACACTAAAGATGGAGAAACCCTATGCTATATTCTGCATTTCTATCAGCTGCCTACTTTTGGAAACTCAGTTCAGCAGGTGGTAAGAGAAATAAAAATGTGGAGGTTACTCAGTAGGTAAAAACAGCCTGACAGGCTGAGAAATTTTCTCTTACCATCGTACCTTTCTCCCATTCCCCATTTTTATTAATAATCTGTGTTGGATATGAGGAAATGCTATCAGGGATAAGGTACTGAGAAAGGATTGGGGGGCTCTGGCAATCTTTACAAACAGGGGTGATTTGCCATGGTGAGTTTCTTTATATCAGTGTGACTGTCTTAAGATGTTGGTAATCAGTTTATCCTTTTAATAAAAATATAGGGAGTTTTAAAAGGTTTCATTAAAAATAAATAACCCAATTGGTTCCATGGAAATGACTTTTTGATCTCAAGAACTTGAGATAATTGTTGTTCAGGAAACCAAGAGTAGTTGGTTTCTCTGACGCTCAGCTGGCTCAGATTGCTGCCATCCTGTTAAACATGAGGGTCACTGCCCTGCTTTCATGCCTCTCTTGATATAATTCAGGGTATATTTATTAGAGTTGGACATTTGACTAGGGGGAAATAACCACAAATGAAAAGAACAGTTGTGTTTGAGTTATCAGAGACATCAATTAATATTTTCTGAGCAAACTGTGGACTTCTTTCATGTAAAGGAGTATGTGAATATGCTTTGGGCACACTCAGGTCTGATGGACATTGATCTCATGGCACAGGATTGGGGGACAGAAAAATTGATTCAGTGAGAAAAAGAGAAAGAGAAAGGAAAGGGAGGGAAGAGACAAGAATTGATAAGGAGAAGAGACAGAGGAGGGAGAGAGGAGGGAGAGAGCACAGGAAGAAGAAAAGAAGGGTAGGAAAGGATCAGAAGGGTAGGAAAATGAGAGCGAAGGGGCCTGGAAAAGGAGAGGAGAAGAGGAAGAAAACAGGACAAGTAAGCAAAGACGAAAATAAAAGAGAGCAATAAGAATGAAAGAAAATAAAAGACAAAAATAAACGAATGCAGACGTCAGAGTCTAGGCAATTTCTGTGAAGTGCCACTTGGAGAAGACCGACCTGCACAGATGCTGCCTCTGGAGGTTAACGATGGCAGTAATCATGACTTCAATTTGCAACAAATGGTACACAAAGCGGCCTGACCCCAAATGGAGAGACCTTCAGTCACAGCGGCGGAGTGATAACGTAGCAGGGATGCTCAGAGGTTGGATGAAATTCTCCTTTATTTGACAACCATTTTCGTATCTGATTGCTGCTGTCAGTGGTCATTCCAGCTGTTTTTCGGTGTTTGCTCTCTCTGCATACTGTGCAGCATAGACATAACTAATAATTCTCTAGCCTCACTTCCAAAGCCCCTTTCTCTTCATGCATGTTTATTTATACGTGTTATCTTGATAGATTGCACATCAAGACTCCTTTTAATTAGAGTTTTGTCTGTGTGGAGCAAGTGCCTTTCTCCATGCCATCTCCCCTCTTCCCACCCCATCTACCCCCACAAAGGCCTGGGTGTTAGCAGAGAACCAGGTTTCAGAGTAGTAATGGGGAGAGAAAAATTTAGAAAGCCCAGGCAAGGAGAGTGGTGAGAGCAGAAATGGGGTGGAGAGAGACCCCATGGGGTCAGAGATGGTGGAAGGTTGTGTGCAATATGCATAATGGAATCCTATAAAAATAGTCTGAAAAGTCAACTAGTGTTACACATTCTCTGAGTAAACTTTTATGTGCATACTGTGGAAGAGGCAGAGTTTGTCATTTGGTCTGCCTGAGGTTGCACTGAGGTAGCAATTGAGATGGTCAGATTTGAAGAGGTTGGAATTAGCAGAACTCTTTGGACACTATAGAGTCTACAGACCATGGAATAGGGCTGTTAGGGGGAAGACTTGAGGAGGGATCAATGCAATTTAATTTGGATCTCAAGGGGTACCTATGGTGTAGCTACTATGGTTTACATATGTGTAAGAACATAATACATCTTGGCCCATGTATGCCATTTGATTCACAATCATTTGACACTCTTAAGGATGAAATGCCCTTTTTTTTTGGTAAAGTAGACTCCACGCCCAATGTGGGGCTTGAAATCACAACCCTGAGACTGAGTCGCGTGCTCTACCTACTGAGCCAGCCAGGTGCCCCAGGGATGAATTGCTTTCAAATAAATTCATGACAAGTCTTCTCTCCCTATATAAACCAGAAGCTCCTTGAATATCTTCTCTAGCTTTTGAATAACCTACAGAATCTAGCTTAATACTAAACATATACCAAGTATCCAACAAGAATGTGTCCCTTATTAATTGTTTGGGTCACTCATTGTCTCTCACCCTCACCTTCTGGTATGCATGAACTATCACTCCTTTTGAAGATGATTCCCTCAGAAAGGAGGTGCACCTGAATCACAAAGAACCAGATGCAAGGACTACCTACAGACACTTACGATCTAGAGTCATTGGTAGCATGTTTATTTAGAAAATTATAGTGACTCTTCTCCAATGTCAGGAATGGTGTTCCTTGACGGGCCTTAATCTATAGTCAAGATTCAAGTCAAACATAAGACTATCGTTCAATAATGAAGTGAGAATTGAAGCTTATTGAAATGATGTCATTACAGCCAAAACCAACCAACCAAACAAAACATACCAAGAACTGAATTGAGTATGCCTTTTTCTATACTTATCCTTATTTAATGTCCACCCACATTGTATGAGCATTGGTGTGCCAAAGTGACTCAAAGTCTAAATGGATATTGACAATATTCACATCTAGGAAAGATCCATATGAAACATACATATGATGGGGCTCTCACAGAATCATATGTTTTCCCTCCTTCCTTCTCACTTCTCAATGCTCTGCTGAGAAGAGTGTGAAGGTAAAGTCAAAAAGGAAGTTCTTACATTCTTAAATCCTCTGTAAAGAATCTGGAGTTCCTTCTTGGTAAATTTGCTCTGGGCTTCCAGAAGTTCCAGAGCCTCAGGCCGATGCCGGACGGTGGCCATCTCCAGTTCATCTTCCACGCTGTCTGTGGAGGAGAACCAAAAAGAGGCTGAAGAACAGTCACAGGTCACTGATGCTTATACACAACAACACAGGAAAACAGTGAAACGTTTACTGGATGTCTGTGATTTTTCCAGAGGAAGGATTCTGATACCGCCTAAAGTAGTCTTTACATTTCCCAGAGTTTACATAACTAAGCTAAGACAATTCCACATAATCTTTTTCCCCCCAGACTCTAATGATTAGATATTACAATATTAGCATTTCTATAATACAGTTTGAAGAGTGCACAAAATCACGAATAACCTCAAAACCTGGAATTGGTGTATATATACCAAGTATGGGTTAGAAAAATGGAATTTCAGTTTAATGACAATCAGTATTACCCTATGTATCACACAACTGGGAGGTAGGACTCTGCTAATACTCTCTGAGGATTCCACTGAAATCAAATATTTGGCCTGGGACTATAAATAAAGTAGTCAGGTCAGGTGCTGAAGTGAGTAATCAGCTGCTGATTTGACTGGTATAAACTCAGTGTTCATGGGTGCACACTGGATGGACTGGGCCTGAGGAAACTTCTGGCTAGACCCTACTCTGTAGCCAACGGAGTCTATAGCTACAAATTCTAAAACATTGTACTTTCTTTTGTGAATTATATTTACACTATAATTTCTCCAAGATACTCTATGTAAAAAGAATAAAAATCTGGGAAATGCTGTAAATGCTAACATAGTTTGGGACCAAAACAGTGGAAATTAAAGGTTTCCAGAGGATCTGCAACAAACAATTCTGTTTAACTTTGTTTAACCCAATTGACCCCAAAGTATATTTGTCCAAAGAACCCTTTCTCCCCACGAGTCACATCTGGTAACCCATACATATTTGCCCTAGGGTCCTGTAGAACACTAGTTGGGAGGTGTTGGAATATATTAGGATCTGGGTGCTCAGGTCTCAAAGTATAGGATCCTTGATTAATTTCAGCTTTTTTGCAGTGGGGCCTAATGGAGGCCTAAGACATTCTTCTTGCCATCAGCCAATCCATACCCTGGCTAAAGAACTCAACAGGAATAGAAGCATCCAGGCCCAGCCCTGAAGCCATGGCTTGCTAACCTCCATTATATTCTTTCCTCTTAGCTATAGCTTTCCAACTCAGGTAAGTGAAGCTCAGGAGAAGAGCTTTTTCTCATCAACTCTGCACCCAGGGTGTTCCAATTCCATGTCTTATGTGTCAGTTGGAAATACAGTTATCGTTGCCAAAAATCACACCATTCTGATACTCAGTGCTGCCTTTCACTAACACCTGTACCTATTTCCTTCCCTGTCTCACTAAGTGCAGTGATGGGCCAGAGCTCTCACAGAGGAGGGATAAAGAAGTTTCCACCGAACCCTACTCCTGGGGTGTCCTAATGACTGCCCTCAAATTTACGAAGACCAATAATGGCAATGAAACAAGTACTTAGAACTGTTGTGTTTGTCAAAATGGGGAAGAGGGGATAAAAGCAGACATTTGTTCTGTACTTTTCATATTATCATAGTTTATTTTGAAACAGTGAGATGGAAAAGCTGCAGGATAGTGATGGATGGATAAGAATAATAAAAGGGACATGAGAAGATGGGAAGGCCAATAATAAACTCAATCTGACAAGCGTAAAATTGATGTGAAAGTAAGCGAGATATGCACCTGAAGGATGTGTAGAGGCCTACAGGTGGCTGGGGAAATGGCAGCTAGGCATTCACAAATTGACCTCAGGTTGGGCTTTACGGGGAAAATCAAAAAAGCCCAAATGGGGCTCCTTCAATTTTCTCCTTCATTCACTGGAACATTTGAGTAGAATGGGTTGATTCTACTCAATAGGTCCTGAGCTTAGGGAGGAGGTACTCCCTAAGATTGCTGTTGATCCAATGAACAGGACTATGCTGTTGTTATTGTAGTTGCCAGTGCAGAAATAAATGCCCTGGAACAGACCTGATGTAAATAGATAATACCAGATAGAAAGACTCTGCTTTCTTGAAAAATACCTTCACGTAAGCTTCTTTTGAGTCGATTACAATATAATTCCCTCAGCTTAAAATGTTCCTCTTTCTTCTTTCCACCTGCTGAAATGTATATATCTCTTATGATCTAATTTAAATATTACTGCCTCCTCTTTGAAGCCTTTCCAGATTGCTCCACCATGCAGAACTGGTAGCTCCCTGGACAGAGTTCTCACACCCTACCTACCTCTCATGAAGCATGCAAAACATAACATTACAAACTGTTCATGCCTGCCTTCTCCATTGTGAGTTCCTTGAAGACACGGGCAATGTCTTCCGGATATGTATATCCTCTGGACCTAACAGATTCTGGTACCCCATAGTCACTCAAGAATTATTTAGTGTATGAATGAGTTAATTAATGGATGAATGGATGAATCAGCAAACAAATGATGTTGCTACTAAAGTTTCCATTCCCCTGGAACCCCTTGAACCTTAGCAGCCCTCTAGAAAATTATTCTGAAACTGAGGTTTGTGGACCATTGGTAGACCTTAAATGCCTTCTTTGGAATCACTGTGTTCTCCACGCCTTGTTCTGAGAAACACAGCAAAAGCAAAAGCAGAGGAAATTTTAATCAGATTTTCTGAGTAGTCTTTCAATCATAGCACAACCTTTTCTAGACCCAGTGACCCTTCCACTGGAAAGAAACAAAACAGCACATTCATTCTTTGGCCTTTGTAACCACACGGCAATCAGAGCCACACCACCAACACACTTTTCTTCCTCCAGCTGTCACAGACTTGCTGAGGCTGAGACGGAGACAAAAGACCCAGAGCCGGAGGGTCAGTGTAATTGAATTAAATGTGTGATAGGATGAGCAGCACACACAATATTCAAAGCACCACACTTGAAGCATCTGTGGACTCTTGTTATCCCAGCTGACTAGTACCTTACTTCCTAATGACTCCTACCTGCCAAAGGGCTGTTTCTATTTCTAGGAGGCTGATAGGCTCTAAAAACCTGAAATCATCAGCAATCACCAGCAGACAGTAAAAAAAAGCAACACCACCTAATGCAATCAAGACTGATTCCTGGAGGCAAACTCTGGAGAGCACAACGTGATTCTGCACAGGACTTGAAATCCACGAGTTGACTCAACCACCTTTTAGGAGCATGCATTTAGGGGGATTTTATTTTATTTCATCTTAAAGCTTTTTATTTATTTATTTGAGAGAGAGAGAGCAAGCATGGGGAGGAGGAGGGGCAGAGGGAGAAGCAGACTCCTCGCTGAGCGGGGAGCCCGATTCGGGGCTCCATCCCAGGACCCTGGGATCATGACCTGAGCCAAAGGCAGATGATTAACTGACTGAGACACCCAGGTGCCCCTTGGGGGGATTTTAATACAGTGCTTAACATTTATGGAGCCCTTGTTGTATTCTAGGAGATAGGCTAGGTGCTCTACTGATACAATTCTAGGTCCTCACAGTAACTCCGCAATGAGGTATAACTGTCCTTTTTTTTTTTTTTTTACACATGTGATACTCGGTGTTATAGAGGTGAAGACATGAGTGACGAGATGTCACATAGGAGAGAGATAGAGATAGGATTCACACCCAAGTCTCTAATGCCAAATCTTATGTTCTTTCTACTTTGTCACATTCTCTCTCAACACCAACAGAAATAAGAATGATAAAAATAACATATTTATCTCCTCTCCTTTTCTGCATTGTCAAATGTCTCAGAAAAGTTGACTAGATCCACTGGGTCCATTTTCTATCTCCTGCTTCCTCCTTAATCTCCTACAGTCTGACTTCTGACACGATTATGGGTGGAATTGTATCACCTTAAAATTTGCATGTTGAGGGCCTAACCTCCAGTATGGCTATATGTGGAGATATGGCTTTTAAGGAGTTAATTAACATTAAATGAGGTCATAGGGACCTTAATCCAATATAACTGGTTTCTTTATAGGAAGAGAGAGAGATACACACACGGAGGGGAAAGGCCACGTAAAGCACAGCAAGGAAGCAGCCATTGCAAGCCAATGGGAGAGATGTCAATAGAAACCAGCTCTGCAGACATCTTGATTTTGGGCTTCCAGAACTGTGAGAAAATAAATTTGCTGTTCAAGCCATCTAGTCAGTGGCATTTTGTTTTGGTAGCCCTAGTAAATAGATACATCCACCTATATTCAAATGACGCACAATACTCATAAAAGCAAGTCTTGTTACTCACAGAATTTGCCCAGTGAACACTGGACAGTGGGCAAGCCCATTATATCCTCATTTTATCTTTACGACACTGTTCAAGAGAGGGATTTTCATCCCCATTTTAGGGATGAGACAACAGAGGTTTGGAAAGTCTAAGCAGCTTGCTCAAGCTCAAATAGCTAGTTAGTAATGAGGCACACAGGTGCCTTTAGCACCCTAAAGTCCAATTTTTTAAGCATTCTGCTGGGATTGTTAATAAAAATCACCACTGTATAGAGAGCTTTTGCTCTAAGCCTGGCTGGGTACTATCTCATTCTAATACTGACAAAAATGCTGTGAGAAACCTATTATTGCCCTTATTTTACAAGGAATGACTGGGACTCACAGAACTTAAATAATCTACTCAAGGTCACATAGCAAGTAAGGCACAGAACTGGGATTTGATCCCTGGTTTTTTAACACCAAAGATCAGGAGCTCAGTCAATATGCTATTTTAAGAGTTGGAAATATATATATATATATATATATATATCTCCAAAATCTCTCTATATATTAGTCCAAAATCCTAGGGGAAAAAAGATTTTATATATCTGTATCTATATATCTATATCTATATCTATATACAGATATATAGGTATTAGTCTAAAATAATATATATATTAGTCCAAAATCCTAGGGACAAAAAGATTTTCGGCTGCCACTGAACACCCAGTGCCTTAGCGGAACCATGCCTGGGTGCCTTGGAGAGATCACTGCGGTGGCAGTCGATGCTGTGCTGATTTAGAAACAAATAGAACAAGGTGTGGAAGGGATGCTACCTCAGAGCTGGAAAAAACA